CCTCTCTCTTTTTGGGGGGGGGCGCCGGGGGGACGAGGGAGGGGGGTTGGTGGGGGGGGGGGGGTGGGGGGGGGGGGGGGGGGGGGGGGGGGCAGGCAAGGTGGTGGTGGGAGGAAATTTGCATCCAGCACCTGGGGTTGTGTGTGTGGTAGGAACTCCTGCATCAAGTATGCATTGCCAAACAGATGGGTGATGCCTTTTATTCTAAGTATGCATTTCAAAAGGCAACTAGCAAACAGTGCTAATTATCTGTTTTATAGTGGGAATCCTCATTTACTGCAGAATGAATACAGATTGTTGCTTCATGGAAAGTTCTCTGGATCAGGGCCATAGTGTATACTTAAAATTAAAAAGCATTGACAAAAGACATGGAAATATCTAATATAAGGTAGTTGCTTTTTAAAGGAATATTTAATAGTGTGCCAAAAGAATTTTAACTTATTAAATAAAATATATTCTAAGTGAAGCTAACAAATTGAACATAATACACATTTTTGGTGTAATCCATTAATTAAAACCAGCAAACAAACAAAAACCCCACAAAAAACCTGTATATAGTTTTCTCACCCAGCAACAGAAGCAATTATGTTGTTAAAATAATTCAAGAAACCTATGTTTTTTCAAGAACTAAGACTAAGCTATAATTTAAGATGCCCATAGTATGTATGGTATTTCAGTGATTCACTAATACTGCAAAATGAAGCTTTTTTTGTGACAAGACACCGGCTTCTTCATGATATCTGGGTAAGAACTGGGCATGCTCCCCAAATTGGGAAGGGCTGAGTGTTTTTATAGCATAAATCCTGAGCACACTCATTTTGGGGTAGGGGGTGGGGGAAAAGAGAGAGAAAATATGCCTTTTCATTGCAGGGTTTTATTTTTTTTAAAAAAAATAACTGATTTTTAGAATGCATCATTACTTGAGGTATTTTAAAAATCTTCCTCAGAATTCAAGGCAATGCCTCTTCTTAACTGACTTTTTGGGCAGTGAAAGTAAGGGCTGGCCAATACCCGTTTTAATTCTGTACTCTACTGAAAAAATATTTCATTGCTTCAGGACCTTCGTGCCACATACAAAATAATGCAACGCCTCATTTTATCCACTATTTTCTTTTGATACAGTACTAGCCAATGATAACAAAGTAGAAGACAAAGGTTTGGTAGTGCACTCCATTATATTTTTTTAGTTTGTGTATATAAAGAAATATAATATATATATTTATATCTATATATGGAGAAAGGAAATTTGTTCAATGCTTAACATACAGTACTTCTTTTTTTTAAAAAAACCCTTAACAATAAAACCGCGTTCTTCCAAGTTTTAATCCCATGCTATCTCAACAGGGGGCCAAGTTTTATTTTAAATTTTTAAATTCATTTAGGGCATCCATGAAACCCAGATGTCCAAGTAAATAAAATTCCAGTGTCACTGCACATCTCTTCAAAATTCATCAATCTTCTTCTGCAAGTATTTTAGCATTGAGTCCATCCCTTGAGCAGAACCCCAAATTTTCTTTAAAACTTCACACTCCTTGTCATTTGCTTGTTCCAAGCCCACCTTCATAATACTACGAACTAAACCTTTGGATTCTTCAAGTACCTACATAAAATTTAGAAGGAGAAGAAGAAGCACATAAACAAAGTATCAAACAGAATTATAGACATACAGCATTATCAGGATGAACAGGAAGCATGTGCAAGAGGGCCTGCAGATTAAAGTGACCCTTGGTGTATGCAGCTCATTTGTGCTCTGCATACCACGCGTGCAACAGAGCATAATGGGCAAAACGCACAATAATATTCCCAGAGGGAGCACTTTACTTTATCCTATGGGAAGAGTATCTACCACTCAGGAGGAAGAAAGGGGTTCATTCCATGCCATTAGATTTATCTCTCACCTTTTTTCTTACAAAGAACTCAAAGCAGCTTACACCAGTCTCCTCCTCTTACTCTCAATCTTATCCCTACAGCAATAACCCTGTGAGGTAAGTTGGGCTGAGAATCTGTGACTGGCTGAGTGGGGACTAGAACCCAAACTGCCTGAGTCCCAGGTCCACGCTCTCCTCCACTACCCACACTGGCTCTTAGTGATGGATGCTCGTCACAGTGCTGGCACCTGTGATGGATGATAGCACAGCCTATTTCCAGTCAGCATCAGTTTTGGATCTGCTCATTCAGAAATCTGCTCTATCCTGTTTCCACATTCATCACCTTTTGATAATTCCATACACAAACTCAAATATGCTTAAATAAGTGTCTTGAACATAGTTTTCACAAAATAAACTTTTCAGAATATATTTTCTCTAAAATAATGCATTTCTACATTCCTATGTATTTTGTATATCTTGTTTTGGCTGAGAACTTAACTGCAAGATTTGGAGATGTGCAAAATCTGAAGGATAACTACATCATAAACTGCACTAGCCCACTGATCCAGAACAGATTAATATCCAGCAGGACCCCTTAGGTTCCAAGCCCCTCTAGGGGATGCCTGAAACCTCAGACAGTAGCAAACACTTCATTTACAGGGGTTAGGGGTGCAAGCCCCCCACAAATGTGGAAAATGGCAAATATCTCTAGGAAAAAAACACAAATTATCTCTAGGGGAAAATTGGGAATATCTCCAGAGTCTTTGCACCCACTGAAAGAGAAAGCACATGCATGAGGCTGGTTAGTACTGAAACAAAGACTGTGGCATCCCCAGAGTGTGTAGCTCCTTGGAGATAGTTGCGGTTCTTCACATTTCATGTGGGTTCTGTTCCCCTAACACTCACAAATGTGGAAAGCTGATGGTCAGTCTTGGCTGAGTGAAACTGTGGTAACTGAGCTGAGGATGAGGGACCTGCTGTACTTCCAAATGAGGTTGAATGAAAACATCAAACATCCCTGAGACAGGCCACTGTGGGCTAAAAGACAGGATTTTTCTCTCATGCAGAACCATGTGCCTGAACACAGCCTGTTTCTTTGCCCCATGTAAGTGCAAAGCTGTTGTTCATTTCTATGTGGAAAAGGAGAGGCATATACTCATTCTTGTGCTGGTTCAATCTGCTTGCTACCTCCTGCTGATCCTGGTATATACAGATGGACATTTTCACAGAAAATATCCATGATAAAACTACTGATGCTTTTGCAGTTATGGACTGCAGAGTGCAATGTATGTTAAAAAGGCCTATTATATTACTTTATAGTACAATAAAGGGGCAGGTGTGAAGTGTGATATAGATATTTTCCTCCAAAGCTATGCTTCTGTTGTACGTTAACAGCATTTTGCCAGGACTGAAACCATAACATTTGATCACTCAAGGTACAATCCAATACATGTTTAGACAGAAAAACATCTTACAATTTCTAGTATGTCACAGCCAGCAGTTTGGGACTTGTGGGAGGGAGGGAGGGAGGGAGGGAGGGAGGGAGAGCACGCAACATGCACAGGACTGCATTCTAAGTAAACAAAAGCCACTGTTCCTTGCAATGGCCACATGGAATGTGACAATAAACACATGTCAAAAGCACCTAAAGGAGAGCACTGCGACATTGTAAGAGATGAATCATAACTGCCCATAATGCCCACAACATTTCATGAACATGTGAAAAAAAAGTTTACTTGATGGTTAATTCTTTAAAAACCCTCTAGGGCCCCTTTGTATCAATGAACCACGAAAATATTCATGAAGCCCACGCACAGGGAGAGAGGGAGAGGGAGAACCTTCTGCCTCAGTACAGTGTGACTTGCATATAGCCTCAGTTGAGATGCAAAGGCCAAAAGTGTGGCATCATATTCCCCCCCCCCCAGTTTTAGAGATGCCCTTTTTCATAAAGTTAATTAGTATACAATCCTGTAAGGATTCGTATAAACATGGAGGACTATGGGCATCTGATGGAGGGTAGGGAGGCAAAGATCACCTGTCTCTCTGTGCCAAGCACTTTAGACAGAGGGTTGTGGGCATTTATGTACAGTACTTCAGAGCAGGAGGTAAGGAGGGTGAGGGCTGCCAGGATATGGAGCATCTTTGTGGCACTGGTCCCCTCCCCTCCCTTTCCCCTGGAACGCCCCTAAATGTCCTTCTCTGTAGTAACTCAAATAACGTTAGAGATGCAGCCAGTGCTGTTCTAATGATATAAAGTACTGGCTATTTAGCTAGAACTATTTTAACTGACAAAAATCATTAAGAATAATCAGCAAGTAAAAAAAATCATGTTTTTTAATATTCTTTCTAAGATTTTCTTTCTTTTCTAAATCTTTCTAAGATTTCTTTGAATGACATTTGAACCACAGTACAGTATATCACAGAAGTGAGTACACCCCTCACATTTTGTAAATATTTTATTATATCTTTTCATGTGACAACACTGAAGAAATGACACTTTGCTACAATGTAAAGTAGTAAGTATACAGCTTGTTTAACAGTGTAAATTTGCTGTCCCCTCAAAATAACTCAACACACAGCCATTAATGTCTAAACCGCTGGCAACAAAAGTGAGTACACCCTTAAGTGAAACTGTCCAAATTGGGCATTATTAGCCATTTTCCCTCCCTGGTGTCATGTTACTCATTAGTGTTACAAGGTCTCAGGCGTGAATGGGGAGCAGGTGTGTTAAA